ATGCCATATGCATGTCTTGAATTTCTCTCCCACATGAAGACTACACTCCTAACCCACTATTAGGTACATACTTTCAGCTGTTTATTTTCTAAGAGTGGAAATGGCTTCACTTTTAGCCAACCACACCCTTTGACACAGTCTCCACTGCAACCAAAGGCATGCCTTTAGGAGTGTTTGAATAAAAGTGAGGCGTACCTTTAAACTTACCGCTCCCAACAAGGATCAAACCCTAGCTTTATTAGCACAACAGGCCACCCCACATAGGTGAAATGGACTTAATTAGGAAAGAGAAGAAATGCTATTATACAGGGATGGCGAATAGGTCCCATATGGAAGCCACCTCCAATTAATCATGATAGCTGACATTTATTGAGCACTTATGTGGGTCACATGAATTGATTTAATTAGCCCTATGAGTAGGTACTATTATTACCTCATTTGTACAGATGAGGAAACTGAGACAAAATGATTTGCCCCAGATCACAAAGCTAGTTGGGGGTGGAGCCAGGGTCTGAGGGCAGGCGGTCCAAACGCAGGGTCCTTACTCACAAGGGTCCTTACTCACAACCATAGCTCGCTCCTGCCCCTCACTGATGGGGGTCTGGCTTCTGGGCTTGGTGTTCAAGGGTCCGAAGACAAACTTGGGTTTGGCAGGCAAGGCTGCTATGATTGATTAGGGGCTGCCAAGGGGACACAGACACAGAATGGAAGCACATGTATGTGCATTTGCATCCCAACTTTATTGAAGAGGCCCTTATAACATCTGTACTATCAGAACTGTGCCTGCCTCGATCTCTACAAATGTTTATGCCTAGATTTTTGTTACATCTGACAACGAGTAAGGTAATTAGAATAACTCTCCCTGCTGGCAGAACAGGGAACGTATGGCTAACAGCCTCCTGTTTTCCTTTCTGGACAAGGGTTTATATATTTCAGGTCCTGAGAGACTGTAGACCTACTTAGGACACGTAAGACCCAGAGTAACAAGGAAGGAAGTTTTCCAGTCACTCAGACAGTTGTGGCTGCTATTTCTGCTCTGCAGCTCTACCCCATTGCTGTCGTCTAAAAGTGCAGGCAGTACTTGAGCCTGCCAGGAGAGGCCTCTCCCCAGGACACACGACTCCATTTACTTGCACAGGGCTACTCAGGGAGGAGGCAGAGCTTTAGCACTGGGGCAGACTGGGAGCTGAAGAGCCCCAGCCATGAGGCAGGCAGGCAGACGTAAGGCTAAGGTGTTATTGCGTAAATGATGAGAGTCATTGTGTGTCTTTGACAAAAAACAAAAATTGACTAGATCTAAAACAAGTCAGGTTATGGGTGAATGTGAATAAAAATGAAGATTATAACCTTATTTTTGATGTCTGAAATATTACCACTGGATATATAAAAGCACGTTTACAATAGAAATGGAACTTATTAAACTGAATGACCAACATGCTGGACGTCAGTTTTATCTGATGCTGTTTACAGCTTGTACACTGAAGAGAAAACAAGGGCTTTGTGGTTTGAGTTTACATTTGCTGGTGTAACGGAGTAACAATTATACTCAATAGGTCTGGATAATCAATAGATTACCCAGAAGCACACTGGCTATCAGTTTAGTGAGCACAAATCCAAGTAACTGCAATCCGAGATTGTTCTCATTTGTTTGTAAGTTAAACCCCTTCTCACATGCACTAATTCGGTGGTTCTCAGCTGGGGACAGCTTTGCCCTGCAGGGTCCATTTGGCAGTGTCTGGAGACACTCTTGGTTCCTGTATAAATCTGGCCTTTGATGCCCATTTACTTTGCTCTGGCTCTCCACCGGCAGGGAAGGGGTGGGGGAGGCTGGGAAAGTGGTGCCGAACCTCAGGGGGAGTAACAATCCAATTCAACCTGCTGCTTAAGGGGAAGTCATGCCAGCAAGGAAGACAGAAAAGCAAGGAGCTAGCTCCCAGGGGGTTGGTCCTACAGCACCCCTAAAAATCTAAATGCTGGCTCTACAGGAGAGTTGGCCCCAGAGTTCTTCACATAGCTGAAACAGTGGATCTCAACTTTGAGGCTGTGTTAGAACCACCTGGAAAGCTTGCTAATACAGACCACTGAGTTCCACCCAAATTTTTAACAAGTTCCCCAGTGACACTGATGCCACTGGTCCACACTTCGAAGCATCCAGCTGTCAGGCTACCCTGCCCACTCCAAAGATCTGTCATCATTACTTAACCATAAAGGGTATTATGATTCCATTTTTTCAAATGCAGTGTTCAAAGAGCCTCTGCTTAAAGGAGAGCAAATTCACTGAACCTCCATTCAAGTGACAGTAAAAACATGAATGTAAACTTCACCCTAGCACCCAGTACAAAAGGTTTGGGATCCACCATCTGTTTTAATTTATTCACACCGCTCTGCCTCCATTAACGTGGATGATTGGGAGTTAACCAGACTTAAAATTTATCGTGCATGGAACGAGAGCTATTACCTGGACTTGAAAAATAGCTCACCTCCTTTGACCACGGTCTGAGATTTCAGACTTCGGAGTAAAATGTGAGTTTCAAGCTGTTCTGAAATTGTCTGCCATGGTATTCGGATCACAATAAATTTAATATGAAGCAAATCTCCTCATCGCCCCAGGTGCCTGTGTCTGAAACCCAAGCGGGCAGCTTGGCTTCAGTCACAAATGGCGTGCACTCCTGGACGGCCCTGCTCGTCCCCTCGTTTCCGTTTGAAACTGCCACTTTGAAGCCTGACTTGAATTCCTCACAACCTTGGCCCTGTGAGGCTGATGCAGTAAAAATCCGACTTTTGGTCAGCAAATGACATAAACTATTTTCAAGACACATATGGAATAAATATGGATGCTAAGGAGGTGCTACTTTTACAGTCACTTTTCTGACCATTCATTTTGCAAAGGAATTACTTGCAGGTCTCGCAGAAACTGGATCCTCTATTACTCAGATGGCCCAGAAGTGGACGGGCTCAGCCACCAGCCCTAATGGCTCATTCTCATGTGACTCATCACTGCAAATAGAGGTGTTGGCCCAAAATGCTCTGAAGCAGCTGAAAACTATCCCATTACGCAGCAGTCAATCAAGGCCTTTTCCTCTTTCTTTAAAAAAAAAAAAAAAAAAAAAAGAACCCCTCACTTGAGTCTCGCCACATGGAAATGTTTTGAGAACGGATTCTGTGGGCTTCACGAAACTATTCTGGGACTGCCGTGCCGACAACAGGCCTCACTTTGATGTCAGTGGTAAATGGATGTTCCACGGAAGTGTGTTCTCAAACCCCACCACCTTCCTTCCTCTCTATCACTGTAAAACAGGGCAGCTTTCCCAAGTAACTTTTGCAAAACCTGACAGTTTCTGCACTTGGTCCTGGTTCCCAAACTCCCTCTTGCAAAGGAAACCAGGGTGGCCTTTCCTAACCCTTTCCTGACGAAGCCGTTCAGGACAGGGCCAATAAGGAGCACGCCACCCCCAGTGAGAACGAGAGCAGACGGTCGGGAGCACCTGTCGTGCACCAGGCCCCATGCTGAGCCCTTCCGGTGTGTTGTCGCGTTCAATCTCAAACAGCTCTAGGTGTCGGAACTATTGTAACTCTCATTTTGAAGATGGGAAAACTAAGAGAACAAAGACAGCATGTTATGTTTGAGGTGACAAAGCTATTAAATTTAGAACCTCTGTTCTTTTTAAAAAAAAACTTAGTAAAGTATAACATATTCAGAGAAGTGAAAAACCCTGAGTGTATACAGCTCAATGAATTTTCACGAAATAAACACACCATGTAACCAGCACTTTGGTCTCAGGTCAGAAAACTATCAGAAGCCCCTTCCTGCACCACACACTCATTAGCCACCCACTCTGCACAGGGAACTATGATCATAATGTCTTAGATCCTGCCTGTCTTTGAACTTGAATGGGACTAATACAGTATGCATTCTCTTGTCTAACTCTTTCCAACCCAGTATTACAGTGGTGAGATTATCTACGTCATTGTAGGCAGCAGTTTTCTCATTGCTGTATCACATTCCATTGTGCGAACGCAGTGTGTTTATCTACTGTTCGTGTGCGGGAGTTATTTATAAGTGGGGGGTAGTCCAGATAACGCCATGAGAAACAATTCTGTACCTGCTTACTGACAACACATACATACACGTCTGCTCAGCACACACTCACCTAGGAATGGAGCTGCTGGGCGGATTCAGCTTTAATAGACGCAGTCAGTGGTTCAGGCTGTGTTGTTACATGACTTGAGGGTTATTATGAACCAAGTCGTGTCCCTCCAAAATTCATATGCTGAAGCCGCAGCTCCCGATGTATTTGTGTGTGGAGACACGGCCTTTAAGGAGATAATTAGTGTTAAATGAGGTCACAGGGGCCCAACCCGGCAGAACTGGTGTTCTTTTAGGGAGAGAAAGACACGCCAGAGCTCGCTCTCTCCTAGCACAGACAGAGCAAAGGCCGCATGAGGACACAGTGAGAAGGTGGCTGTCTGCAGCCAGAAACCAGGCCTGTCAGCACCTTGGTCTTGAACTTCGAGAATCCAGAACCATGAGAAAATAATTCCTGTCACCAAGCTACCCAGGCTGAGGACTTCTGTAGTGACGCCCGGAGCGGACTGATGAAAGGGAGACGAGGGGAAGCGGGGCTCACCTCAGCGCGCCTGCTCTCTGTTCGGGTTGGGCCTCTCCTGGCGTCACTCTGCGCCCACAGGCCGGCCCCCCGGCTCTCTGACTCTGCTGAAGCTCAGGTCGGGGTGCGGCCCTCGTGGCTTTGCAGCCTCTCATCCCTGCGCCACTTCTAGCCTGGCAAAGGCCCGAGGGGAAAAAGTGCTGCCAGGGAGGTCGACAGAGGTTTACTCCACTGGTGCTAAAAATGAACATCTAACTGGTAGTTCTTAGAGTGAGGAATTACAAATAACTTAAAAAACAAAAGTATAGTAGGACAGACTACCTCACCAATTCTGGCTTCTTTTTATTACGGCATTTCTGAGTCACATGCTACTCCAATGTAGTGCCTGCTAGTTTTTGCAACATTGACCCGACACAATGTTTTCCTCTAAGGACGTCCCAATTTGGAGCCTACACTTTCTTGGACCTTTGTCACCTTTGAGAACTGAGAACTTCCTGGAAGGCTGGCTAGGTGACTCTGCAAAATTCCCAGAACTGCCTGGAATGGCTTTTGAAAAAAGGTGTTTAAGAAACACAACCATTTAGTGGTAATTGAATTTAAAACATGGTTACACCTGAGCCCTGGTCAGGTGATTGGGTAGGTTGCGATGTCACCCTGCTACGAAGGTTGTGGGTTCCATCCCCAGTTGGAACACACGAGAAGAATCAAACAATTAATAAACTGATGTCTCTCCCACCCCTCCATATCCTCTCACTAAAATCAGTTTTTTAAAAACGTCACATCTGGTAACTGAAAAACAGAATCACAGATGAAGCTCAAACAAAGCCTGGTCTCCAGGCCCCGCCGTCCGCCTTAGTGGCACGGCTGTTCCCGTGAATGGTGCGGTGTTGGGGGCGTCAGCTACTTCGTGCCGCAGTTTCGTCAGCTGTATAAAGGGGACAATCGTGCTTGTGAAGAGTTGTTTCCGAAGCTGCAGAGCGGCGAGTCATTCTGCCCTGGGAGCTCCCACAGCTCGGCCAAGGTTAATCCTTGGCGCTGACTCCGGATGGCGTTCTACGTCTGGGCCTCCTCTGCGGGGTTCTGAGATCCTTTGGGCACAGGCCATGTCCTGCTGTCTTTCTGTCCCCGGTACAGTGCCTTGCACATGGCAGGTCCCGAGTGATAGGTGACGCGGTCCTCAAGTACCCAGCATACCCAGGTGTTCAGTGAAATGGTGAGCCAGCGTCACAGGGCGATTCCACCTTTGATGAAGCTGGTGAGGAGAACTGTCACACAACAGGAAACAGTCGAAGTCACCCTAGAAAACTCCTTAAATGGCCCACAAAGTACAGAACATATGTTTTGTACACTCAATCCAATGCAGTCATCTTTAGGCACCCTCCAAGTGAGACAAAGGGAGAGAACCCTGGGTGTGACCAGAGATCCGGGCATCCGACCCCTCTGTCCTTGCCACACGTCTCAAGGTCCCGAAGCGGCTGCAGACGGGCGGCGGTGGCTGAGGGAGGCCTGCTCCCCCGCAGTGTCTGCTCCACTCCGCATTGACGGTGGAGCCTCTAGGACGCTCACGCCCGTGTGAGGGCTTCTTATTGAGAAGAAAACGGAGTGAGACCAGGTTTGTTCTCAGGTCAGCGACTAGTCTGTGTTTTTGAACATCCCTCTTTTGGAGACTCTCGGAGTGCAGTAGCTTGGGAAAAGAGTAGAAAAGTCCAGTATGCTCAACTTGGTGACACCCATTTTCTCAACCTGATCGGACACTGGAACTTGATTCTTGTCGGTATATAGAAACCTGTTCATTGTGATGTGTTAGGAACGCAGCGTCAGACTGTTACTCAAAGCTTTTCTGACTTTATAAATAATCCTTAACACAAATATTTATCTGCCTTCAGGGAAGAGCGATTAAGAACAAATTGGAAATGGGTCAAGAAGGCTGTCAGATTAAAATGAGAATGGAAAGCTAACATCCTGGCAGAAATGGAAGGGACAGAAAAGTCACAAAGCGTCCGTGGAATTACTTCACACATTCGACACATACGACTGTGTGTGGTGTGATCGTGGAGATTCGAAACAGCAGCAATTAAGTCCGTCAGACGAAGTGACATCACTGGCAAACGTGCCTAAGGTGGCAGAAACATGTTTATTGTATGTTGCCAAGCTTAAACTTGAAAGTTTGGGTGTAAAAGGGCAGAGTTCGATAGTAAGGAAACTCGTCACCTCACAGTGACAGGTGAGAAAGCCACCACTTCACCCACGGCGCCCTCGGGGTCCCACAGCTCTTCCCTTCCCCGCCACTCAGACCAGCCCCCACGACAAAGGCCGAGCCCACCAGTTCAAAAACATTTTTCATATCCGTCAGGTTTCATAAAAATCCTGAGTTTTATTAAACCCCAAACATTCTTTTCAAGGAGGAAGGTTTTTCTAAAGGGTAAATTTCAAGATACCAGAACATTTTAGGTCACGGCCACTTGTGATTCAAAGCCAGTCCGTGGATGAGGAACTGCATCGGGATCCACATTGCTGGCATCTCTTCCATGGCCCGAGGCTCAGTGGTTAGTCAGTCATCTAGTGTCTAAAAAGCCTCTCCATCACTTTTTGTTTTTTTCCAAGAAAACATTCAAAGGAGTTGTTCACAGGAGCAGAAGTGGTTCTCAATCCCTCCTAAGTCGCACTGTGTCGGACATACGCATCAATGCGTATGTTCTCTTTAAATAATTATCTTGGCATCCTTCCTCACTCATTGTATTTGGACAGTTTTAACCTGGGAATAATGTTCATAGACTGCAGTTCCTGGAAGAGCAGCTTGCAGGCATACGGAATACGGAGGGAAGACACGTGACAAGACGACTTGCAGTAATGGCACCTGAAACCCAAGTCGGCATGTGTTAGAGGGACAGCAACTCAGAAATACACAAATGCCCGCACGTCAGAAGGGAGAATTCTAACAGATTCTATCAGCATTCCACCAAGATGGTTTTCTATTTCTCAGTGTTCAGCCACATTATCCAACGTGCACTTACGTGTCCACACAGTGAAAAGAAGCCTCCAAAGAAGCAAAAAACCAAAACAAGTTATCACTCTCCAGTTTTAAAAACACGTACTTTTAATTAGTCCTACACAGCTGATGTTTCTCCTTGAAATGCAAAACATCTGCCCATATACTTGTTTTGAATAAGCCCCAGAAATCTGAGCCATCCAAAAGTTCCTTAGACTTAGACTTTCAATTGTTGGAAGCATTTTAAACAGACTGAGTCTCCATGTAGTGATGAGCATCTGCTACATACACTGCACTGTTCTAGGCAAGAGGCTCAGCGTTCACCCTTGGATTTCTGGGAAAGATGAGACTCATATACAGAAAGGCGGCGTCCAATCAAATGTTACTTGATTCTCCAGGGGCCTTCAAAGTTGGCCGTCTCCGTTAGTATCAGAGCTGCTTTACTTACAGCGTGCAGACCCTGTGTGCGTGCACACACTACCACTGAACCCACACGACAGCCCATGTCCCTACGCAGTACGCCTGCTATTCCAGCCAGGGCTCTCTTCTCTCTTCCTTCAGGAGAGCCAGTGAACTGACCCTCAATCTTACTGAATGGACACAACTGAAGAAGGGCCCCCAGGGAGAAAGTGAACTAAGTATTCCGTCACGTTTCATACCAAAACAGGGCCTCCCCTCACACCTCAAGGGTCTGGGGCACCTGGGACAACAGGTGCCCAGTACAAATGCTGAGACTTCACTGGCAGAAAACTAGGTCCTCTCGGTTACCAGAGGAGAAACCGAGTGCAAGAGGAAAGCCACCAAGGCTGAGAAGATGCAGTGCTAACCGGGTACTGGCGGAAGATTCCTCAGCGAACAACAAAGGCTACTGTGGATGGTATAAGGCAATATGTGCACAAGAATGCTCACGATCACACTGTCTCTAACAGCACGGAGCAGGAGACTTCTCTGGAGACAGGACGTTTGTGCAGAGGACACTGTGCGGCCACTGAGTGCAACGGCGCAGGCCCCATTGAGCTGTGAAGGTGCCCAGCACACACCGTGAGGTGAGAAAAACCGTTTGCTGAACAGCGTGGTCCCAAATGGGTTCTCAGATGGTTTCAGTAAATGCAGAAGCCCCCCAAATCACATGTAACAGGATTTTTTGGTACCTATTTGTATTTTCCTGCTACTAGCAGAATCTCAATGGAATTCATGACTTAAAAAAACCAGTAGAGAACTACAGGCAAACACAGATATCTCCCAAAGTGACTAAAAAATTAACAGTGTTCATCTCTGGGTGGTGGGAATTAATGTAACTCTATATTTTTCATAACTTTAAGTATTCTACAAAGAGCAGGGATCATTTTTGTAATCAGCAAAATAAAGCTTTTATCATTTCCAAAACAGAGTCACCACAGCTGAGAAATGGACATGGTGCCATTCCACAGACCTGAACTTCCTGAGGAGGGGAGAATGGGGGAAGGAAGAGCCCGTGGGGGTCTGGGCGGAGGTCCCTCCCGGGGACTGCAGGCGGCTCAGCGAACACTGCGGAGGGTCTGACTCTCCACATGATAACACAGACACGGTGCACGCCTGTCTCCTAGAGGGTCACCTAAGGACCTTGTTAGTGCATGACAGTTTAAAAACTGGTTTTCACGTGCCTGGGTTGATCTAATTTATCTAGGAATCGTGCTCACACCTTTGTACAATTGGAGAAATGGATGTAACTAGAGCAACTTCTTGCTGATTCTCCTGTCAACACCCTGTGAATTCGATCCATGCCAACCTGTTTAAAATTTCTGTGATCTGTGATGTTTCAGGAAGCCCACTAATCTTCTCTTATTAAATATTTCTCGCATGTTTAAATTGTTCCAATGCGCGCGCGCACACACACACACACACACACACACACACACACACACACAAATATATAAATTACCTTCCCCTGTGTCTGAATAATTTCTAAAGAAAAAACTTGACCAAACGACAGTCAGATAAACCAATTTTTCAGGGCAAAGCCAGCAAGAAAAGGAGGCTGTGGCTTCATGTGAGGAATGACTGTCCAGTAAAACGTCCTCTATGAGCTAATTATCCTAACGGGGGCGTTCTTTTCTCTGCAGTTTTCCTTCTGGACCTCTCTTTTGTGACTTAGGCCCTCCGCGTCTTCTGTGGAACAGTCTCGCTGTAAACATCCCCATAGCAATGCCTTACTAATGTGCAAATCAATGACGAAAGGCCAGTTTCAAGGTTCTGAACTGCTCTAATTACTCGGCCTCCATTGTGCTGTTCATTACGGAGCGCTTCCTCCAACCAGCACGGTGCTCCCTCCCACACAGCCCAGGGCGCACCTCAGGTACCGTGGGGAATGACAGCATCATTATGCTCCCCTGCCTGAGAGCAGGGCAAGGAGGCTGCCAGACTTCCAGCCTGGATGCGGATTTTTTCCTGTTGGCAACAAGGGTAGAAACAGGCCACTCAAAATCAGACACACGGTACATCCAGGTCTGTTTAATTACAGTCAAGACCCTTAAACCGTGTAACCTGATTTAGCCCCCTTTCAAAGGACTTCAAACACAATACACACTGAACACAAAACTTCCGAATCAGGCACTGCCATCAGATGATCTCTCTAAATGAGACAGAAATGAAGGAGGAAAGAAGACAGGACTTCGACAGAATGATGTAGACATTAATTACTGCTCACCTCAGCTTCCCCGAGTATTCAGCAAGAGGGGGAAGGCTTTCAAAGTGCACGAGTAAACGGACCTTTCTTTTCTTTCTCTCTTTCCTTCTTCCATTTCCTCCCCTCCCTCCTCCCATCTCTTTTTCTTTTCTTCCTCCCTTTTTCTTGCTTTTCTCCCTCTGATTTGTCTTTCCCTCCCTCTTCTTCCTTCCTTTCCTTTTTCCTCTTTTCCTTTCTCCCTTTTTTCTCTCCTCCCTCCCTTCTCTTTTTCTTCTTTTTCCTCTTTCCCTCCCTATTTCTTTTATTTTTCTCTACTTCTTTCCTTCCTCTCCTCCTGCCTTTCTTTTTTCATTTTCCTCTTTCTCTCCTTGCTTTGCTTTCCTTTCTTCCTCTTTCCTCCTTTTTGTCTTTCCCTTCATCCCTCCTTTTCTCTTCCCTCCTTCCTGCCTTTTCTCTTCCCTTCTTTTTTTCTTGTTTACTCCCTCATTTTTCCTTTAAAAATTTTTTTATCTTAGCCTTCCTCCCTCTTTCTCTTTCCTTCCCTTCTCTTTTCCTCTACCCCCCCGCTCCCCACCCTCGTCTCCTTTAGGAGAATGCAGGGAGAATGAAAAAAAAAAAGAAAGAAATTCTTTTTTAAAGTTTCATGATCCCTATTGGTAATAAAGGGACTCTTCTGCACTAAATTTGTACCAAATTGGAAGATTTCAGCATAGTGGAATTAAGTTCCAAGCATCTTCCTATTATATACTTTTTGTTGTTGTTGTTACCCAGGACAATAAAAAGCAAACTCAATGTGCATTTCAGAATTGAAACAGCACCCCCTTCATGTCACTGATACGAGAAAGAGCCAAGTTTAAGGTCACCCCATCTCTGCAACCTCATGAAAGGCAAATGGCCACCTTGTGTGTTAGTTTTAAAGATGAGATGATTTCTTCACACACAGGTCTTATCAACCCTTCTATACCAAAATAATCAAATCATTTATTTTTGGCTAAGAGATTTGGACATTTAATTAGCAAGTTACATACACTGTGTTCTAAGAAGGCCACTCGTTCTGACTCTTAATTTGCTTTACTCAACCCTGTAAGTGGCAGCTGAGATGACAAGAAGTCGGGTTTTCTCTGTAAGGAGGCTTTGAGCAGGGTGGGGGGCGTCTCACGAGGACAACAGGCCCTGGAACTAACCCTCAAGCCCCGGTGATGAGCACTCATCCGGGCCTGGCTCTCTCCTTCTGGGCAATGCCCCTCCCCAGGGACAGGGGCTCCGGGAAGGAAAGTGAGGATGATGAGGGAGAGGAAGCTGTTTCCCAACCTTGCAGCACCTACTTCAGACCCTGTTAGACCTGGTCTCTGATAGGAAAGTGAGCAGAGCCTGGGGAACCACAGGCCCTCCTGTCTGCAGGGCTGTTTCAGGGCTCTGCTTCAGGACCAACACTAAGCGGAGCAGTAGTTAGTGGGACAGGGGAACCATTGCAAGGAAGACAAGGTGCTCTACCTCTACAAACAAGAACAGAAAATAAGCAGCATCACCATTTAAGCTGGACTTTGTGTACTCAACACTACACAGAAATGATAAACTATGAATTACACAGTTTACCTACTGGCAATCCTCTAATCGCAGGGTTAGTACCATTTAGCGTTATTTTCCATTATGCACCTTCCAGGTCTCAGGCTAGAAAAGCAGGGGTTAACAAGACAGAATAATATTTAGAATGAACTAGAAGATAAGCACCCGGTGGACAGCCATTCACCTGTCTTGTTCTCCACTGTGGTATGGGGCCGAGTCTGGCACCTAGTAGACTCTCACTGCATGTCCGTGAGGGAATGACTGAGACGGACACGGTCTGCCATTGTGGGATTCACCGTCCGAGTGGCCGTGCAGACAGAGTGCAGACAAGGCGTCCGGGGGCCAGGTTCTGGTCCTGGCTGTCACCAATTTATTATAAAATCTGGGGTGACATACCTGGTTCTTTAGGTCTGAGGTTAAATTAGGGCATTCGACACAATCTTCTTTAAAAATATTCCTATTTACAATATGCTGTAATTATAACACCTAACAATGACTCTGCTAGGGTTGTTCCAGGCAAACAGTGTTATAAAAGGTATTCAACATAATATTAAAAAGAGGATAAAATCCTTACTCCTTGGAAGTTTAAATTCTAGTAGTGTAAAGGAGCAGAACATTAGGTAGACAAAGTAAACATGTGCACACAGAACCCCCCATTCTAGGAATGCAGGGATGGGGGAGGCTGGAGAATAGGTAGGTGTGATCAGGTCAATTCTCGAGCTGTGATTTAAGGGGCAAGAGCTGTGGTATGAAAGACATATGGTATCCACTTACCAGCCGGAATACCCCAGAAGTCCACACTGCCCACAGACATCCACCTCAAAGGCATCACTTGAAATCATTAGTCGCTCCAGTAAAAGCATACTGGCTCCATAACCAATTAAACAGTCACGTTCCATTTCTCCAAGACGCAAACCACCGTCACGAGATCGACCTTCAGTGGGTTGCCTTTGAAACAAGTTAGACAAAGGTGTTACTATATTACACAAAGGGGAAGCATCACATTCTGGCTAAGAGCAGAGCTTTGGAGCAAGCCTCACCTGGATTCAAATCACTTACTAGACAGTGACCTTGAGCATGCTGCACAACCTCATTTGCACCATGCATGTAAGGCTATCTATCTGAAGGAGCCTTAAATGAGAAGAGATGTAACCCTAGAGCTGATTGCTATTTTTATTATTAAATGAAAATAATAAGCCCTGGCTGGTGCAGCTCAGTGGATTGAGCACTGGACTGCAAAGCAGGGGGTCACTGCTTCAATTCCCAGTCAGGGCACAGGCCTGGGTTGCAGGCCAGGTTCCCCAGTGTGGAGAGTGCAAGAGGCAACCACACATTGACATTTCTCTCCCTCTCTTTTTCTCTCCCTTCCCCTCTAACAATAAATAAATAAGTAAAAATTAAAAAAATAACAATTACTTAAGTGATATAAATAATGATAAAATAAATTAATATATAGCATACAAAATACCGGTGCTAGCACTACTATTAGCATCGCTACCACTATTACTAGGAAAGGATGTCTTTGGAATATTTTCAGAGATGTCTCAGTTCTCTGCTATTTAAAAGCAGAAAAACTGAGGACGGGCTGTGGAAGAAATCCAAGTCCTCCTGTAGTTATTCCCAGGACTGCAGGGAGGAGCTTCACTGTTACATAAATCAAACACGGAAAGAACGGATTTTCATAAATTTGGACTAGATCAGGAATCACCTGGAGCCAGAGGGGAGGTTTCCCAGAGACTCACCTCCCTACGCCCGGCTGTGTGTCCCACTCAGGTCCTTCCCTCGCGTGTGAACACGCTCCATTCCTCCCCGGAGGGAGCATGAACTGGGAAGCTCTGGGCCCCCTAAGTGAACTCCCTGTGACTTATGTATCGGTGGGGCTTGAGAATACTCTAACAAGCTAAGAATCCGGTATCAGAGATGAGAGTAAAATGAGGGGATTTTGAAATAACATAGGCAACCCCACCTAGATACTGATGACACCAATTACGAGACGCACACACCCTGGCTGGCTCACACCGGGGTGACGCTCCTTGGAGGCAGTTCAGCAGGGGTGGTCCATAAAGCTCTTGTTTGCTTTATTCCATAGCATCTTTTAATCTTTGTGGTTATTGCTGCCAATTTCCCAAAGAGTTAAGAAAGTAAACACATGACTGCCAGCTATGCTAAAATTTTAACTTTTGTTGTTGATAGTTACAAAGGAAAATCAAGTTAAGTCGCACAGTATTTGTCAACAGAAAATCGACACAGGAAAAACCTGTAAGTAGATCTCAGCGAACACGATGCAGTGGGAGCTTCGTAACCGAGCACAACACGCATGCGCTTTCATCTGCAAACAGAGCCTCCCAGGGGCGGGGGGAGGACGCCTCCACCTGTGGGCACTGGACAAGCAAAGGTGGCCAGACCACCCGAGGGCAGAACTCAAAACCTGAATTTTAACCAAGATAGCTGACCACAGACAAAGGCACTCCAGGCCGTCTTCATATGGAATACACAGAAGTGATACCAAAGTAATACTTTTTATACTACAGCAAAGCAAAAAATAGGAAATAACTGTTTTGACATATATATATATTTTAAATATTGTATTTATTTATTTTTAGAGAAAGGGGATAGGAAGGAGAAAGAGTGGGAGAGAAACATCAATGTGTGGTTGCCTCTCACGTGCCCCCCTACTGGGGACCTGGCCTGCAACCCAGGCATGTGTCCTGACTGGGGATCGAACCAGCAACCCTTTGCTTCACAGGCCCGTGCTCAATCCACTGAGCTACACCAGCCAGGGCTTGACATTTATATTACTCTGAAATAGTTTTTGGACGCTGTAAGGGGACAGCATTCGGGGAAAATACGCCTCACTCAAACACAGTCTTATTGTCAAAGCCATGGCTGTCTTGAGAACCCCAACTTCTCCTCCCTGTTCTGCAGTTTAAGTGCACATATGCCTTTCGTTCCAGTAGGCATGTGCGTTTGCTCAGTTTGACATGGTCAGGGAGTGAAGGCATCCACACCTCTCCCTCGGTTTGAAGAAACAAACATCCAGATCCTAGCTCCTTCATGCTCCGCTCCCCCCACTACACTGTAACACCCGAGCAGCGCTCTGTGAAAGTGGGCAGGGGACTGGATATTTACTGAGCACCTCCCATGGGTCAGCGCTGCACGCAGTCTGTACTCAAACATCCGACGTTCACCAGCGTGCTGTGTAGAGGGCATCAATGTCTCTGCCTCGCATGTGAGGACAACTGGAGCCGAGAGCCCTAAGGGACCTGTCTGAGGCTCATGGCGGCGCTACGAGGTGGGGGCGAGTTCACAGCGATGTCACTCTGACTCCGGGCCTGCGTTCCTCCTGCCCGGGCTCCTCATCCTTGGCAGTAAGGCCGTACTGAGCGGGGTAATTCTCTGAGGCAGAGGCCGTCCTGTGCCCGGCAAGATGCTCAGCAGCATCCCGGCCTCACCCACTGGATGCCAATTGCTCCCCGTGCCCCCAACTGTGACACCCCAAAATGTTTTCAGACATTGTCAAATGTCCCCTGGAAGGCAAAATCGCCCCTGGTTGAGAGCTACTGCCCTATGCTATGCTTCTGCAACGGAAAAATGTAGTATTGAGGACACGTAAGACTTAGTACACTCCCCTTCCCAACAATTATACTCATTCATCAACACACACACACTGAGCTTGGAATGCAGGATACGCTGGTGAAGGGGCACACGTGGGCCCCAGAGCTCAGGCTAGTCCTGTGTGTATGTGTGGGGGAGCACAGGCGCACTGGTACGCATGTGCGCAAGGGGATCTACACTCTTCTAAAGAAACCGTTCGAACGGGACCACATTAGCAAACCAGAAAACAGTAAATGATTAGTTAGGAGACCACTGTCAAGACTTACAGAGGGTTTGCTCTCGGGCCTGTGAAGTGATTTTTAGTTGGGTGCCGTTTTGTCATGCTAATCAGACATACATAATTTTTGTTGATGCCTGATTCCCCGAGTGTGCAATCCGGGTAAATGGGAACTCCGCTGAGTGTGCTCACTGCTGTCCTGGGAGACACGAGGTAGAAGACGTACACACACTCACACACTCTTCTGCCAGTGCTTTCCTCTCACCTGGTAAGGACGGCCCGTGGCCCCCGGGCCCGGGCGTGCATCTTATCCAGCACCATGTGTTTCAGCTTCTGATAGTACACGGGGCCAAAATAGATGTAGGCTTCCAAGGGCTCACTGAAAAACAAGGTCAGAGTGCTGGGTTAAGAAACTAAGTTTGGGCTAACAGGAAATAGCCTTTCCTAGGTCTCAGCACTGGCAGGCCCTTATTTGTCTCTGAATGGGTTCATGATTGAGTCCAAGAATGATTTTCAGTCTGCGGTAAATAAAGAGACCAGATCTGAAAATATAGAAGTACCATGGATACATTAAGAGAGACACTGTTTAATTAAGAAATAAAAACTCAAACAGCCTGTGAAACAGAGTGTGTGGGTCGGTGCCCCCTCGGCCGCTCACTCCAGTCAGGCCAGTCCGTCCTTGCCTGCACAACTGCAGATAATCTCCTGGTCGGTCTCCCTGCTTCTGCTCTCTGCCCCCAACAATCTGTTTCTGTGTAACAAGCCACAGTGATTTCTTCTACAATGCGCATCACAGCAAGTCATTCTTTTGCTCTAAATTCCCAGTGGTTTCCCATTATACTCAGAGTGTGTATCACCCCAAATTTTGTACAGCCATAAAAACTAATGTAATCTGGTTCCTATCCACATCTGACTCATTAACTATTCCCTTTGTCCATCACTCATTCTACTCCAGTACCACAGGCCTCTTCATTGCTCCTTATATTTAGCAAGTGTGCCTGCCTCAGGGCCTTTGCACTTACTGTTTCCTCTGGCTAAAACATTCTCTGGCAGGTATTCACACGGCTCAAACACTTCACTTCCTCAGAGAGACTTCCCCAATCACCTAGCTAAAGGAGTCCTCTTACTCCAGCATGGCTGTACTCACGCCCTGTCTCAACTCTTACACTGGTTTTACTTTCTTTGGAACACTTACCACCAATAGGTGTCACAGTACATATTTATTGTTTCTCTGACTATTGTCTGTCTTCCCCACAAGAAGTAGACTCAGCAAGACAAGCACTCTGTCTCCCCTGTCCCTGTGGCTCCAGCACGAACGGCCCCGCCTGGCAGGTGGCTGACGCTCCGCAGACGTCTGTTATAGCCCACTCAACGAGTCTTTAGAAGCACTGTGGTGAGAGCTCGAAAGGAGTGAATACTTAACTGCTTTGACAGGAGAGAACTCTGTTCTTAAGTCTGGAGCAAGGGTAGCCAGGGGATGGATGATTTTACAATTTTTTTACTGCCCCAGAACTTCCTTTCTGCCAAGAAATAAAGCATCTGCCATGTGCCATTTAATACATACAGCCATCTGGGGAGGGAGATACTGTCATTCCTATTTTTAAGATGAAGAAATAGACACAGAGGGTCCACGAGGTTATATAAGAGCTGGTGAGTGATGCAGGAGGATTCGAATCCAGGGCTCTCGCTGCCACACTAGCCAGTCTTGAGCCAAGGAAATCTGGGCCACAGAATGATGTGAGAGTAGAATGAGCAAAGGAAGCAAAAGACATGGCAGAGAGGCACATAAGTGCATCTGTCCCTGCATGCCTGCTATACACCTCAGAACACTTTCAGTGTCGCCGGCAAAGGCTTTTGCAGCTATCAAGCCATTCTGCTGGTTTAAACACAACCAGATTCTTGGACGACCCAGAGCGGAGTGGAAGGCATGACAAACAGGGTGGCAGGAGACCCTAATCCTGTCTCAGTGTGTCATACAGTAATTACGTGACCTCCTTATCTCAGTTTTCTAAGTTGTACAACAAGGTGGTTGGACTGAGTTTCTTTCTAGCTCTAATAATGAATGATTCTAGTCCTCCACAGTCTGGTCGCTCATGGTTGAATTCATGGGACCCTGTCACCATTCCATCATCAAATGAATGAAGCCATATGCAATTTTCCCTGCTAGCTATGCTCAAGAACATGACGGAGGATGAAATCTGGTGGGTGAGTATGTTTACAAGCCCTTCGTGGAGCTCTGAGATGAATGGGAAGCGAATGAAAACATGGGCTGGGGGAGTAGCGGATGGTGATGTAGATGGATGCAGCCCATGGCCGCCTACAGCAAGCAGAGCATAATCCATTCAAATGTTTCAGTAAAATTATGTTTGGAAGGTCCACCAAATTGGTTCGTTGGATTTGCACGCTTTCTGGTCAACTTCTGCATCATTGCTGGATGAGAAGCAAAAACTAAGATGATCCGTTTAGCAATGACAATTGCATTTTTTGAAATGGACTTTAGCTATTTGAATCATTTTTTAAATGGACCATTACTCTTTCCCTGTAATGTGATTTTCTATAACATCTCAAGTATGAAACACCTAAATACACCTATTTATTGTAGTCTGGATAAATCATTTTAGGAGCACTCGATATTTTTAGCAGAAACAGATTCTGACCATCTCAGTCACCCGGGAGAGCCTGTGTGCAGCACTGGGGGCACGCTGTGTGTTCTCTCAGGGACTCCCACACTGGTCTCACTGGTGAGTTTCGGGTTTAACGCCGGAGAAGAACGGAATAAACACTCTGTCCCACAGGTTTACCTGGCATAAAAATACGTAAGTGTGTCTTAATTTCAACAACTAACTCTGTCCTTTAAAGTCATGTGCAAGCTGAGCTTCCGCACCTTGTGCTTCATGGTAACTTCAGAGACATCTGCCCCCAGGGTTAAAAGGAAGACCTGGTGCTCCGCCTGTGTGACCTGCTCTCCCCACCCCGCCCTCACCTCGGGCTGCACCACTGCCTCCTCGCTGCACTGCCGCCAGCCTGGCCTCTTCCAGGGGCTGGGACTTACCACAATCTGTCCCTTGTATCGTGTTAATATGCTTTTCCTCTGCATGGAACGCTCTTCAAACGCTCCATTCTCCTCATCTGCTCACATCTGCGCTGACGTATCTACCTCCCCACAGGGGTCCTCTAACCTACCCTTTGTCTTTATTCTGGTGAGAGCTCTTCGTACTTGCATTACTTGTCACTCCTTTATTCAGCAAATAGTCATGGAGTGCCCACTGCATCAGGCTAGACATGTCTGAGCTAGACACTGAACAAAACAGTAAAAACAGACGAGCCCTGCTCTCGTGGAGGCTACATTCTACTTGGGCAGACGGATGATAATATTATATAGTGTTATTACACAGCGTATTTGAGAACGATGAATGCTACAAAGAAAAAGAAAGCCGGAAATGGGCAATACTGGACTGTAGTGTTCAATTAAGTAGTGTGTGTGGGGGGGCCTGCTGAGAAGTTAACTGTTACCTGTTACTTTTTAACATCTAGCAACAAATCTCAACAGTCAGCTCCACAGGTCAGGGACCACGTCCATTTTTGTTCACTTAGTACCTAGCTCCTGCTCAGTGTTTAACCATCTTTCATTAGTGAGTGTGCAAATGGTAGGCCTCGGGCCTTCCGACAGCAATAATTACCTGATATTCATCATATTAATGCACGGCAAGTCCAACAACTAAGGAATTTGGCATTATATATAATTAATTTGTTCCTTAAAAGTTGTGTAGAAATCCTATTTTGGTAAATTAAATATTTTCTAATTTTTAAATGACAACCCCATTAGTAAAACAGCACTTCTTAGCTTATCAGTTTCTTAAATTTGGGTTTTCTTTTCTTCTCCTCCCTGTTTTATTGAGTTATATTGGGTTGGCGAAAAAGTTCGTTTAGTTTTTTCCATGCAATGGCTCTAGTGGTGCTTAGTTGTCTTTAACTTCATTTGAAACAATTTTGTTAGACTGTATTGTAACAGTTGTCATATCAGTGTGCCTTAAAAAAAACTTATCAACATTGGTGAATTTTTGTGTAACCATTTAATATGGAAGAAAATATGCAGCATTTTGGCACATTATGCTTTATTATTTCAAGAAAGATGAAAATACACTGAAATGCAAAAAAAGATTTGTACTGTGTATGGAGAAGGTGCTGTGACTGATCAAACATGTCAGTGGTTTGTGAAGTTTCTTGGCACCATTGACATTTTGGCCAAATAATGCTGTGGGGCCGTCTTATGCACTGGAAGATGTTTAGCAGTGCCCCTGGCCTCTACCCACTAGATAGCAGGAGAGAGCTGACATACTCAAATTATCCAGATCAATAAAGTTATTGGTGAAAATGAAAATATGTCTTTTATTTTATGGAAAAAACTAAACAGACTTTGTGGCCAGTCCAATAATTGACAATATAACATTATCCAAGTTTAAGGTGTACAACATGTTGATTTGATACATTTATATATTGCAAAATGATGACCACCACAGATTAGCTAACACCTCTATCATATATCTGGATTTTCTTATATTGGATTTCTTAAAGGAGTAAAGCTAAATATCTTAAGGGCTCCTGCCTCTTACCCTAATAAATTCATACTTTTACTTTAAAACATCTGAACATACGCTTACTTACCCTGTGATGCCAGATGTAACGTAGTCTTTCCCTAAGTAGTTATAACCGTGGCGAACGAGGTCTTCACACACATCTTTTACTTTACTGCCTCCAAAAGCAGTGCCGTAGTGGAATCTGCCATCTAACACGCCTGCCTTGCCGGCCAACAGCTCAATTAACTTCCCCACCTGTGGGGTATAAACAAAGTGAGTGAGTACCTTCCTGTGATATAGAAATCCTGTTTGTTTATTTAATATGGACTATTTCCCCAAAGAATTATGAGACCACTACGTAGTGATCATTAATGACAGTAAATATTTGTCGCTCTCTCACTGTGTGGCGGACTGTTAGAAAAGCTTGATAGGTGTGATCTCAGTCTGTGCCTCCCTGAACTGCTGCAGGACAGGCACTGTGACTCGACTTTACACATGAGAAAACCGAAGAACGCAGAGGTTGAGCAACTTTCCCGTAGCATAGAGCCGGTAAGTGGTGGAGCCAGGATTGTAAAACCACCACAGAAAGGGAGACACATTAGGTTTGACACAAGCAGTTCTTTTTGCTGAGGGTAAGTTTGCCACTCAGAAGACTGCTCTGGAAGGCAAGGCACACCTACTCCACATGCTCTCTGCACAAGACAGTAGTCCAGCACTGTCCAAAGCTAGGGACCTACTTATTTGGCTAGGGGTCAAGGGGCCCTTTCTATAAATCACCTTCAAGGTCCCATCACCTCCACTGACTGCAAACCAGCTGCCAGCTTTCTTCCTCTAAAGCAGTGCCTCTAAAAAACATACTGACCGTCATTCGTGACGGGAAGCCGTGTGGGTTCATTATGATGTCCGGACAGATGCCAGAATCACAAAACGGCATGTCTTCCTGAGGGACGATCAAACCACAAACACCTGGGGAGAGATTTCACACCTTGTAAAGCAAATTGGCAGAAAAGAAGAATACAGTACTTAACTGGACTCTCCCCATCACTATCTCCATTTCTGCTGCTCGCAAACCTTCCCCATGGTCTCTATCAAGAGTAACAAAAGCAATTTCCAACAATCCTGTGACACAGTTCAAAAATGGCTGTCCTTGCAGAAAGGCAGGGCAGCCAGTGGACTGGCCTGCTGGTACGACACACAGTGGTGCCGTCGGGCTGCTCGCCCAACCTCTCCTGCCACCGAGATGGGACAGCAGCAGCTCCACTGGGCCCTGGTCCGTCAGTGTCCCTGAGACTCCAAGAGCAATTTCAGTCCTTGTTGGCTTGTCCATGACCTGCCACACACTGTGCCCAACCACAGGACTCCAGGTTCTCCGACCACCAAACACAGAACGAACTGAGTGACAGGTGTGTTAAACTGTGCTTTCTCAACCCATGACAAGGTGTTCTCGTGTGTGGCTGGTGAGCTAACAGGTGTACCTGTTGGCTGCAGAGAGCTGGCTGGTTGGCCGATTCTTGCCAGGGCTTCCCTGGCTGAGTCTAAAATGCCCTAAGGAATTTTCATTCCCATAACTTATAACAAGTGAGGAAAGTGATCTTTGCTCAAAGTTGTAAAGTTGAATAATAAAATCAAATACCAAATTATTCTTGGAAGAAAAGACTAAAATTAGAAATGTGTTCTAAGAATAAAAACATACAGAACAAAAGCCTACCAACTCCATGAACACTAATAGTCTCTTAAATTAATTGACCTTTATTATTCCTTTAGCAGTATTCTAACTTGGAGGAAATTCTGTTGCTTAAATACTTGGTAACTCCTCTTATCTCCTTTCCATGGTAGGAGAAACAGGGGTATAATTTAGATTGTTAATCACAACCTATACAATTTAGAACTGGAAAATCAGTATACAATGAATGGCATTGGACAAAAAAAAAGGTTTTATATTAGTGAGATAAAATTCCTTTTCCCTTGTATATAAACTATTAACTATCTTCAGCTATTGAAAAGAAACTGCTCTCAAAGAAACTTTTCATTGCTCAGTTTGATTTCTACATAATTACTCAAACTATTTTAAAGTGAAATTTGGGAGATGTACTATAACCATCAAGAGCTCAAGTCTAAAGTAAAAGTATACCATGTGCCTATTCAACACTGGTTATTTTGATTTTTAGTGGCTGGCAATAATATGGTAATTAGGTTCGTGGAGTTAAATTCTCATGTATGTAGGCATTTTAACTGGCTTTTTGGTTGAAGTTGCATTGTTTATTATAAAGAAAGTATGCTTTCCTACATGAAGAACAGAAACATTCGGTTCGCTTTATTTCAAATTCAGCCACAATGTGTTAGCATTTAAATCAAGCAGAGTGTGTGACCCTCCTATCTTCCCTCCAAAAGTCCATCTTGTCCACATTGAAATCAATCTGACAAAACACTGGGACTACTGGCAAATCTCTGAAAGAGATGAAATTGTAAATTGAGGTGCACCACCACCAACACAAAATGTTGGCAGTGAACAAAATGTTACAAACAGCAATTCCTAAAGAGGCGGGTCCTGGGATGTACTCAGGTGAGATGTCATTTGGGGCAGTGAGGAGATGGTGGGTCCGGCTATATCTCTAAAAAGCAAAAACAAAGAGAAACTGCAGCCCCCCTTCAGCAGCAGTTCGCGGGGCGTGCCTGGGGCAGCGCAGGAGGAAGCCGCTGGTTCGCCCTCTAACAAGAGAAGGTGGCAGTGAGGGGCAGGAGGGACCGGAACCCAGGGAGGAAGCCTGGCACACTCACACGGGAGGAAGGTCAGGAGATCTGCATTCTGCACTTTCAATTTTATCCAACAGATTAATTCCAGCAAAGATAACTTCATTTTGTTATTAAAATGAAAGTAATGCTCCTCCCCCTGAAATCTGAATCTCTAATAACTCTGCTTGAAATCTGATTAATATTTAGCATACAGCTTCCTTTTTGGGAAGCTATTTTCTTATTAGTCCTTTTTTGACACTGCATATAAAAATACATAAGTAACTTTCAGATTTTTCATTCCAGTATAGGAACTGCTTTGGCAACATCTGACTCAAGGGCACCTGTACGCCCAAAATTAAATCTTAGCTAACTTAAAATTACTTTAGGCTCTGAAAACCCTTTTATATGCCAAGATGGTTCCCATAGCAGACAGCCCTGTGTTGTTTGTTTTGTGTGAAAGTGAATGATAAAAGATCCATGAAATCGACACAGAAAGCCAGAACAGCAGAAAGAACTGAGGGCTCTCCATCATTGCGGCTTCTACCCTCTGCTGACTTGCAGAACAATGGGAGCTACACATCCAACTGCAGATCTAACACAGCTGTGCATTTCATTAGATGAAGAGCACTAGTGACACAAGTAAATAATTAACTTATTCTGGTCCGCTGACTGTGCTTATGAGACTAGTCATAGCTGACAGATTTTAATACGAGTTAACACAAAGAAACCATAATGAGCTTAGAAGTTAAAACAAAATATTTAGACAGAATTTGATGATCTCGAATCTCAAATTAGACAGATGATTTTTAAAAGTTTGCATTTTTCTGAACTCATTAGGGGGAGAAGAGAATTCTCAATCTTAGAACCAGACTTTTTGTTTAAATGGTATTTCTCTATTTTACAATTATTCAAATCCTTAATCAAAGCAGGAAGCTTTCTTTTTTTATTTTCAAGTGGAAAATTGTGATTTGTTTTCTCCAAGGACAGAGCATAAAATCTCTTTCTATATTTAGAACTCTTAAAAGTTATAGTCACTTTTCTTTAATGCTGGTTTAAAAATGTAAATGATATGCAGTCTGCTTCAGTGTGTTAAAACACTCCCTGGATCCTTGAAAAGAGGACGGACTACGAATAAACCATCCCTAATGGAAGCTATTGTGGAACCATCACTGATTCATACCTTCAACGCTTACACAGCAGTTCAGGTTTTAAAATCAAGTTTCGTCCCCTGGCTGCCGCGGGCGTCCCAACCCCACTGTAGACAGCACAGCCTCCTGGCAGGGAGACGCAAACACACCCGGTCCACAGGCCCAGAAACACTGGCACGCTCAGAGGGGCCACTGGGAATTAGACCACGGACCACACTGCAAACCTTTAATGAATGAAAACAGATACCAAGGAAAAACTGGGACACAAAAAGAGCATAAAGGTTCTACTGATACCCAGTCAAAATAAAATGTCATTCTGTCACCATCTAAATTTCACGTGGTGAAGGTGAGAATTTAGGGAGTCTAAGGAAACCACAGTCTGACCCCCAGGCCACTCAGGAAAGGCAAGTCCAGGGACCCACTGCCGCTGCACCTCAGTGCCCCAGACACCAGAGGGCCCGCACCAAGGGGTTGTTTCTATTTCCATGGCCCAGCAGAACAACATATGACTCATTTTAAGAACAGGTAGAAAATCCATAATCTGATGAATCATTCTTAGAAAGTATTTCTATTTATAAACAGCAACTGACTTGTTCAAAAGTCACTTTTGGCTTTTTTTTTTTAGGTTGTTTTTGTATGACGGCCCTATCTCAGTTCAAACAGGAGAAAAAAAAGAAAGTAAGAATGTCATAAAAAAGGCAAAGAAGAACTAAAGCATCCTGATACCATATCAAGACAGGAAAGCAAGTGGCAGGTGCAGAAGACAACTCTAAGGACATTTTTGATACAAGAGCTGCTTTGATGTGATTTCGATGCTTTGAGAACTGATCAGCAAACGGTTTTCTACTGTGTTGACAGCCAGGTCCCATTTCAACATCACATTCTGTTTCACTTTTTAACTTCAACTTTTTTCTTTAGCAAGTCCACCTTCCATGTATAACCACTTTGGGACTAAATGTACTACTCTGAGGTCGGTGTATACTCTTACTCTTCCTTTTCTGAGCGAGGAAAGAGAGAGACTTGTTTCCCTCAATTACCAAGCATATGCTGAGTGACAAGTGCTGTGCTGGAGGCAGGGACATAAGCAGCAGCTCAGGGACACAACTCCTCTTGAGGGGAGTCCTACACAAATCGATCAGACTGAATACTGAAAATGAAGACACAATTCAGCTCGCTACATTCTAATGCTCTTTCTGCAGTTACCTATTAGATGGGGCTATTTATTCTGCCCAGTTTAACACTCTGCATGAAACAAAGGGTAAAACAACGCTGTGATTTTTTGCCATCGGTCACAGTGCCAGACAAGGGCTGATACTCAGTAAAGGAGTGATCACTCTGCAATGCCTGGTCCTCATGAGGTTCATAAACGCGTGTGTGTGTGGTGGGGGGAATGGCATCCGTAAAGGACATCACCTCACAGACTCTCAGATCCATGCAGGCCAGAGATCAAGGAATCCTGTGACCTCAATTTGACTCTAGGCTGTGCAAGCGACATGGTGTTTCCTGGGGAGAAGCACCCCCTTCCGAGGAGCCTTACTTGTTTGGTCTTTGTAATGGGAACAATTAGCACCTATTTCATGAGTGAGTTGTGTCAAAAGGACAGATGAGAGGTACTAATGTCTGAGAGGTACTTTAAGGTCCTTAGAGAAAGGCAGCATCTAAATCCAAGGAATTATTATTATATAAGAAACCTAATTATCCTCAGCAGGAAGCAAACTAGCAAAGCAAAGGAGACCAGCGCAGTGAATGGAAGAAGCAAGTGCAGTTGCACCGACTTCGGCTGAAGAGGCTGACACGCCGCTCCCTCAGGCCGGGCCGCGCAGATGATTTCACACGGTCAGGACAGTGTCTCCTGTTAAGACCTTCACAGGACTCGGGCTGCGCATTCCCAGTGTGGAGCAGTTTACTGCTGATGAATGTAGTGGTAAACGGGGCCAGAGGAGCAGCAGGGAAGGCTTTCAAGCCTGTTCGTATTAAGCAAGAAATGTTTTTGCTCTGAATAATCAACTCACCTCCATAAGCCTTTATATATTCAGAAATGCAAATCTCTAAATCAAAACGTGAAAGCTAACACAGGTGGTTACT